TGCTATGCGCTTTGCGCTTCTGTTGAGAACGGTTACGAATTATTGATTTTCGGCGAAGGGCCCGTCAGATTGTGTCGCTTCCGAAGCTGAGTCACCATGGACAGTGCTAGCCCTGTACACAAACACCGGCTTCGAATCAAAGAAAACTCTAAAAACTTTAAGTTAACTGAGCTAGAAAAACATCAAAGAGGAATCAATGAACCAAAGAGCAGCAACGATGCCTATGATTTTAAGAAAACGGGTAAGAAAGATTACTTCTGGCAATTTCAGCTGTGACAAGGTTCGACTGTGACACGATCTAAGCCGGACTGAACACTGTGAAGCCACTATCAGTTGGCGGTTTAATGAATTTAAATAAGCACGACTTCCTTACTGAACCGTGGGAACTACTCTCCGTAAAAACACTTTTAGATATGCACTTGTCTTTCCACTTTGCACCAAGTGGCGCATAAGGAATCTTCAGTTCTTACTTCCTCATACAATGCCCTCAATCGCTGTTTTCTCGTACCGTAGAATACTCTTCTTTACCGTGAGTTTTCGTTTAGGGGCAGACGGTTTCATGACACTGTAAGCAATCGTGCAAGCCATGGCGACTTCTAACAGGCGAGAACAAGTTTGAAAACTCCACCAGGACCACGGGGGCGGGTCTGTAAAGTCGCTGTAAAATCGATATACATCCACCAACGAATACAGCTGTAACGCACTGATACCGAGTCCCAAACAACTTGTCCCAATAGTGACCTTTGCAACCTTAGACGTATTTGCTGCGCTTTGCGTTTCGAGTTGTTTTTGAACGTTCTTCGCTCGGTAGATAACTTTGAGTCCACTGTAGATGAAGGTCGCCGATAGTAGCAAGCCCCAGATGATGAAAAACAACTGGCATATGATGAACAAAATATGGACATTTGAGTAATCAACTGCTGCGGCGATATCTGCGATTACGACGATGGCGAAGTGAAATGATATCACAGCAATGAGGTAACGTGCATTGCTGAGTCTCTCCGACACTAATTGAAGTTTAGCGACCCGAAGGAAAACTAAAAAGATCAAACCAAACGAGGAGGTCAAGCACGGAAAAGCGATGTTAAACAGGAACTGTGCAAACCACTTTGGCATTTTAATTCCGTTCTGTTTGGACTCGTAGGGATCAATCAATAGATATAACGCTCGCGTAATGCCCAAAATCAAGAGCAAAGAGTTAATAGCGATCACATAAGGCTTTCGGCCAAACATTTTCCTCCTCTTTGCTTGCACCAACGCAACAGAGGACGATACTACTAACGCACTGAATGCAAGACCAAAACCGATCCAGTGTAACTCCCATGCGGCTCCCCAGAGCTTTCTCGCTACTTTCCAATCTGGTACTGGCTCCGACTGAGGGACTTTGTTTTCTCCCATTGTATATTCTGGTGTTGAAAGGCTTTCCATTCGCCAAGTTCTGCTTTATAAACCTCGAAACAAATTTGTTCTACACCTCGGACGCACTCACTTCACGGCGGCTTTACAATGCATGTTTACTTTGCGTGTCGGATCCAGATGCTATATTATAAACTAGCAGGCCACAAATGCCAATTATGTTTCAAGTGCCATTATAAATAAACAGGCTTGATGGGCGGTTATCAATAGTTGAAACACAGACGAGCATGTCACCAGATTTTACTACCATGGTTACATGGTAAACTATGATATAATGCAACATTTTGGGTGCGAAGTTATGGTGAAAGTTCAAAATCTTTTGGTTGCTCCAAAAACCCTTGGCAAAAATTCAGCCTATAAGTACATAATTTCAAACTTTTGACACTTCTCAAGAAGTTGTCAACTAAAGTAAATTCAGTTCAATTATGCTTATGTAACTGAGGAAGTCAATAAGATTGTTCACGAGAGAGATATATATATATATAGCATATTATAAACAAAAAATTTAACCGCTTTTAACCTGTCACGGTTTGCCACTTCAAATTCAATGCGTTCAGGAAATTAAAGCGAATGCGAAAGGTGGTCGCAAGATATTGTGTACTCAGCTGACCTCTGGAGAGTTAACCACAGCACGCAAACCACCAAAATCCAAGAAAAGAATAAAGAAATAAAGAAAAACCAAAAACAAAGCGAAATAATAAAAACAAACCCACCGCAAAATGACCAGAAATTTCTATCCAACTTCATGTTGGACTGACTGGCTGAAAATAGCAGCGACGACGACACAAATTAAGGGAGACCCCCGACAATAATAGAAGCAAAAATAAAAGAAAAATAAACAAGCTGGGATGTTTAGGACAAACGGGGAAACAATTGGCTGTTTTTGTTTTTTCAAGATGTGCCCTTCCGATGTACGTCCTTTAACATCAAATTCCCTAGAGGGACAGACATCAAATTTCTCCATACAAAATCCACACATTACCAAGCAGACAGGTTAGGAGAATTAAGAAAACCGTCAGCTAGGCGCTAAAACGAAAGTTTGGCAATCAGTAAGAGAAATTCAATTTTAAGTTCGCAGACGAAACGGTTAAACAAAAACGAAACAACATTTATCAAACAAACCTGCCGTAAGAATGCAATATTTTTTTTAAATATTTCTTTCTTCATTTAAGTACACTAATATTCAAGTCGTCAATTCGAACTTTCTGTAAACAATTCTATAGATGATTGTAATTTCACTAGCGACAGGTTGAATTCGTTGGAAAACAAAATGCTTATTCATGATGGCGGATGACCGACAGCGGAAATAATTCAGTGTGCTTGAACTATCAGTCCATATTGCGATATCAGGGTAACGTTTGAAAAAAAGTAGACAAAATGAGATAGCGCTAATGCGCTAGCATTAATGACGTTAGCGTTAATGGTGTTTGCCGTCGAGAAAAATATCTTGCCAACTGTTACTAAGCAACCGAGCAAAACTTGGACCTGTCAGCTAAGCAGTCGTGGTAGTTCGACTCTCAACGACGATTGGATGACGAAGCGGTTAAACAAAAACGAAACGATATTTATCACTCAAACCTGCCGTATGAATGCAATAATTTTTTATATTTCTTTCTTCATTTAAGTACACTGATATTCAAGTTGTCAGTCAATTCAAACTTTTTGTAAACAGTAATGTGATAATCAATATAAAAAAAAGTTTCTATACATGATTGTAATTTCACTAGCGACAGGTTGAATTCGTTGGAAAACAAAATGCTTATTCATGATGACTGATGACTAACAGTGGAAATAATTCACTGTGCTTGAACTATCAGTCCATATGATTGCGATATCAGTGACGTTTGAAAAAAAGTAATCAAACGGAGATAGCGCTAACGGCGTTAACATTAATGATGTTAGCGTTAATGGTGTTTGCAGTCGAGAAAAATATCTTGCCAACTGTTACTAAGCAACCAAGCAAAACTTGGACCTGTCAGTCAAGCAGTCATGGTAGTTCGACTCACAACGACGATTGGCTGAAAACAACGTCTTGAAAGATATACTGAACAATCGGAAAAGAGCTCCCCTTGTTAAACAAATAGGAATAAAGTGAGTTATATGAACGCGTGGATTAAAATACTCGTCTTTTCTTCTACTAAAGGCGATCACGGGATGGAACAATAATCAACAGCGTTCGAGCCATTTGCATTGTGATTCCGCCTTCACTTACTTGGCACGAGTGATTATTTAAATATCAATAAACTACACACGCTCAAACCAAGTGAAAACAGCGACTAACCTCCAAGAAAAGGAGCTCAGTGCGAGAATAATAGTTTTCTAGGGCATCAAATTCCCAAGAGCGACAGACATCTAATTTCTCCTTACAACGTCTACACGTTATCAAGCAGACAAGTCAGGAGAATTAAGAAAATCGTCAGCAAGGCGCCAAAACGAAAGCTTGGCAATCAGTAAGGGAAATTCAATTTTTAGTTAGTAGACGAAGCGGTTAAACAAAAACGAAACAATATTTATCACTCAAACTGCCGTAAGAACGCAATAAATATTTTATACTTCTTTCTTCGTTTAAGTACACTAATATTCAAGTTGTCAAGTCAAACTTTCTGTAAACAGTACTTTGATAGTCAATATAAAATAAAGTTTCTATAGATGATTGTAATTTCACTAGCGACAGGTTGAATTCGTTGGAAAACAAAATGCTTATTCATGATGGCGGGATGACTGACGGCGGAAATAATTCACAGTATGCTTGAAATAGTACGTCCATATTGCGATGTCAGGGTAACGTTTGAAAAAAAAGTAATCAAACTGAGATAGCGTTAATCGCGTCAATATTAATGATGTTAGAGTTAATGATGTCAGCAGTCGAGAAAAATATCTTCCCAACTGTTACTAAGCAACGGAGCAAACCTTGGACCTGTCAGTCAAGCAATCATGGTAGTTCCACTCTCAACAATGACTGGCTGAAAAAACGTCCTGAAAGATATACTGACCAATCGGAAAAGAGCTCTCTATGTTAAGCAAAAAGAAATAAAGTGAGTTATGAACGCGCGTTCTCGATTAAAAATCTGGTTTCTTCTACTACTTAAGACCATCACGGGTTGGAACAAAAATCAATAGGGGTCGAGTCGTTTGCATCGCGATTCCGCCTTCATTTATCTGGGACGAGTGATTATCATTTAAATACCAACAAACTGCACACACTCAAACCACGTGAAAACAGCGACCAACATCAGACATGACATCAGCGAAAATGTACCAACGAAGAAAGGACTCGCATACAACAGGACTTCCAAAAAAACTTTTTCTCTTTGACAACCACTAACAGGTGTTTGATCGAAATTAAGAATTTCGAGTTACCACGTTACTTTTCTTTGCTTCCTTCTATATATTTTAATGAGTTCAAAGATATCTTGGTGCCACTGATCACCCAAAATATACCTGTTACGTTATTCACAACAACCATTTGGATATAAAGCGCAAAGCACCGGAAAAACGTTGCAATACTGTACGCAGTTCTGTGTGCAATGCTGTACCGTGGGTGTGGGACTTTAAAACTCTTTCAAGCTGTACGATCCTGTTGAAAACTAAGTTCTATTGTGTTATTTTACAAAACAGTACACGACGGCAGAAGAAGTTCAAACGTCCACTTCTCAAGTTCAGCTCAATGTTCGTGAAAGTCAGCTTTCCTTCTGCTAATGTTTGGTGAGGACTCGTCAGTTATGGCAGCACAGCGTCAAACTTCAGTCCGGTCTTGGCTTTAGAACTGTTCTTTTCTAAAACACATGGCAGTCGAATATTTAACTCCTTCTTTTTTTCTTGCGCGGAGATTCGTGCTTACTGCTCGATTTCTTTCTCTTCTTTGTTTCCGGTTCATCTTGTCCCTTTTCGCGGTCGGCTGAGAACGGAAACAACGCGTATCAGAATGGTGAATCTTCTCTACGTTACCTTGGTTGTTTACCATTTACAC